CCAATTTAAGACAACTTAAATTGGAATCCAAATTGCATGATCCCCAACGGCTCATGAGACAGCTTGCATTCTGCATGATCCCGGCCCAGGAGGGAGCAACATTCCCAGGAAATATGCTCAGGCTGCTTTGGGGAAGCAAACTGATGCTGGGCGTGGAGGAAGCCTTGGAACCCAATCACCTTGACAGGCAGCTCCTCACCTCTTTTTGTGTGATTGGGGTCTGATTTGCTGCAAGAGGAATACGTGATGTCTAAACTGGTAGATTTTAAAATGTCGCTTGGTCTGTGGATGGGGCCAATCCATCCCACATTGTTGGGGCTGCAGATGCAGCTGAATGGTTCATAATTACAGCCTAAAGAAACTGCAGATGGCAATAGAGCCAACCCAGGCCACTTTTCTCCTGACAGCCCATGCCAAGCTGTCTCCCACAGGGAATGATAGTGTGATTATTCTGCAATGTACTTGCCCAAAGGCAACACATTCAGTGCAGAGAAGATGGTCACATTTCTAGAAATTTATTTCTAAAAAAAGATATATTTCTAAACAAATGTTTTATCATCTATCTGTTCCGGTGTGTACATGGTATCCTGCTTCGTGTCTCAGGAGTGTCTGGTCACAGACCAAGCTGAATGACAGTGACTTTTCCTGCAACTGTGTTATCTGTAAACATAAGGAGCTGCCACGGAGAGAACTTTAATCAGGGGGACCCCGCTCTAGAATTGACACTGCCGTTTTCAGGCTGTGTGGCCTTGGGCAGAATGACTCTCTCGAGTTCATTATTTTTTTCTCTCTCTACAAGACTCGTATCTAGTGTTCACATGTGACAGGGCCAAGACCTCAGGTTTTGTCAAAGAGGAACCACAAATGTGGTCTTCCTTCTGAATTTGAACCATAGTTTTCCCGTGACTCTTAAAACAAATACGAATCTGCATTTTTCTCTTCTAATCAGGTAGTGCTGGAATTTCCCAACTGAGACTAAAGCTGGGTGTGTTCCCAAATCAGAAACTGAGGGAGGAGCTTGGGGGAGATTTTTAAATTAAACATGATAATTCTCCCTATCTCGCTACAGAGCTAGTTCAGGTAAATAGAGGGTCCAGGCGCCTCTGTAAAGAGGGTGACCATAGAGAATAGATTTAATATGATTTCTCAAATAACCTACCTTATACTGGATCTTAATAGCAGTAACAATGATTTAATATTAGCGGAGCACTTTTTCTGACTCAGACACTGTGCTAATCGCTTTGCATGCATTTTCTCATTCATCTTCCAAACCACCCGACATGGTGGGTGCTATGACTATCCCTACTTCATACATGGGGGGACCGAGTTTCGGGATTGTGTGACTTACGTGTAGTAATTCAGCCAGTGCGTTGGTAGGGTGAGAATTTGAACCTGAGTTTTATTCCAGAGCCGACACTATTCATTCTCATCTTGCTTTTATTGTGGAGAGCTTTTCCAGGCAAACAGGCCCCCAATCCTTCCCTCTCCCTGCCCATCCCTCCTCCCGGCTTCCCTCCTAACTGCAGCCCCTCTTATCGCTCATTGTTTATTGTACCATCTAAACAATAGCTAATGAGTCTGTATTACATGGTAGGGAGAGCCAGGGGTGATTTTATGCCCTGAAACAGAGATGAGGTTGTGACACAAAAAGGTTAAGTGGCTTTGGTGAGGTCACAGAGCCAGCCTGCAGTCAGCAACAGCACAGTTCTGAGTCCCCCACTTGGGTTCTTGAACTGACCCTAAGGCCTTTTGACACCAGAGTTTAATTAAGAGAGTTATTTTCATTTTCCTTTCTATCTCCAATTTTCCATTTTATTGCTGCTTGATAATGGTGGATATCGGAGCCCCAGGCATCTTTCTTTCTCCGTGTGCTTTTTAATGACTCAACTTATCAAATAGAAACCACTTGCTTTAGAGTTAAGCTTCAGAAGCCTGTTTCTGTGTGTGACAGGGACTGTTGCTTTTTCTCTGAGAAAAACAACCACAAACTTAGGTTGTTAAATGAGGATTTTTTTTTAAATCTTACATTTAAACCAGTAGTAAATCAACATCTGTGAGTCATAAACTTGTTATGGGTCAGCCGTTAGTGGTCTGAATGTTTTTGCATTTACCTCTAATAAAGTATTTTAGCATCATAGTTTAGCTTGATTTTTTTTGAATGCTTTAAGAATCAGCTATCATCTAGAAACAACTTGCCCAAGTGGATGGAAGGCAAGGCCCAGCTGATCTTGTTTTGCTGGTGGGGAAGCTTAGGCACAAGCGAAGCCTGGGTGCTGCGGAAAAGAGGCTCTGCTCTGCCATGCGGGACAAAGAGCAGACCTAGAGGCAGAGTCACTGACACTTTTTAGTTCATCTTTACCAGCCATAGATTATCAAACGCACTTAGACTTTGAATTAGAAAGAGTTGGTGGCAAAGTAGAAGCCCACAGTGTCCAGGAAGTTGATAGTTCATCATTCAACACATATTTATTGAGCATCTGCAATGTTTCAGGCACTGGGCTAGACATTGTTTATTTAGGGTGTGGTAAGACGGAAATGGCATCAAAAGTCTTAAAAGCATGTAGAAAAATCTACTTGTGTCCTAAAAAGAATACAATTTTCATTTATCAAAATTGATTAATCAAGTGGGATTCTTACAATATCTTAACTTGCCATATTAGTGCCCCTTGTCCCAAGCAAAATTTCAACGGGATCTGAGGTTAGATGCCTAACTTCTGATAACGTCAATATTCATGATTAGCTCACGTAGAAGTAACCTTCTTGGAGGTCTATGGTGGCCTTTGTCTGTCTCCCCAATGCTGCTGTTTTACCCAACCCCGTTCCTTGACTGGGACCTTCAAACATTTTGAGCTTCTGTGCTTTAGGACTGTTGTTAGAAAAGGATGATTGACAAGTGGAGTTGTCACTGTTGAAGAATTGAAGGAATAAATCGCCCCACTGCTAAAGTGAAAAGTGTTTACAGTTTAATCAGGGAGGGCTCTTCTAGTATCTAATTTGGGTTGGGGGTAGGGGGTGTTAGCAGCAGTGTTTGGCTAGCCTGGAGAAGAAACCTGAGGAGCCAACTGGGGAAGAGAGAAAGCACTTGTTCTCAGGAAGCTGCTTTTGAAAATAGAGAAGTCCTCATACTTGAATTAAAAAAAAATTTTTTTTCTTAAAACAACATCAATAAAACAAAAGCCCTCAAAACAACATTTGATTTGCTCAGTTCTTCTGCTGATGTATTCTTAGTGGGTAAGGCAGAAATGGCTGGAGATCCTTTTCTTTGCTGTTCATTTGGGTGTGTGAATATACAATTCATTCATCAGCTGTATCCTGCAGCTTTTCCCCGGATCAGAAATGTGTGTTCTTGTCATCTGGGGGCCATCATTGCTTTCTCATACCTTTTAGAACCACAGCTGGATTACAACAATCCTTCAAAAATTAGAATTATCGCATACGAATATTTTCCTCTGGTTACTGAAGGAGGGGCATAATCAATCTGAAGTGTGAACCAGAAGCTCAAGATTTATTTTCTTTTCCTGGCTCCTTCCCTCATTTGCTGTAGGAAATGTGCAAGTCACAAATGCTTCAAGGAGACAAAGCTGGGATTAGACAACGGTAAGTAAGCAGGTGTATTAAAACTTATCAGAGGCAGAGGTTACAGTTACAGGCAGGTGGTGGGAGTTCAACATATGCTTAGAAATCAGGGAAAAATATTAAAAATAACTTTCTCCGAGGTTGTACAGAAAAATTTTACTCAAAGATAGATCTCAATGTCTGGCTGTGGCTCTGCTTGGGTGCAGATGTATGTACCTTTATATCTACTGGTTGATTTACTAATTAGGACCAACTATCTCCACTTATGACAATCAATGTATTCATGGCAAATCATCAATCATTTAGGACCATGTTGTGGCTTCTGAAGTGTTCTGAAGTTCCCGCTGGAACAGTGGCTGTGCACTCTGGTTCTGTCATGGCTGGAGATGATGTACTCCAGAAACTCAAAGCCACAGAGCCTTTACATCACTTTTTTGGTGGTAGTAGTGGTAGGGTTGTCAGTTTTATCTAGCAGAGGAGAGTCTATGAACGGAAGGACAAAACTTTGGCTAATGGTGACATAATTAGAGGGACAGAATAATAGCTTCCCCTTCCACAACACCACTGCTGTAGGTAAAATGAAAGCTTATGAAAGCCCAGGACTGGGTTCTAGTTTGGGGGCCCTGTTCTCAACTCCCCCAGTGATACAGTGGAATTTGGGCCTTTGTTTTGGGGTCTCCAGTAGGCTGCCCTGGGTTTGGTGCTTATCAAGGACAGGTCCATCTTTTCTGAACGATTTCACGAGTGGACTCTGAAAAATCAAAGGCTCTCCAGAAACAAAGTCCCGATTCCTGACTCATTAACCCGCTGGAGTCCAATATTCCTAAAGCCCTCTGAGGACATGGGCTCTCCAGTCTCCTGCGCCTGCTCGCACGCACGCCCCTTCATCCGCATGCCTCACGTCCTGTGTGTCAGTGTTCGTGAATGAATGATGTACACGCACTAGGAAAACTATGCTGCTACCGGGAGGGGGCCTGAGCGGGTGACCAACTCCTCAAGAATGCGTGGAGAATCAGGGGGACTTTCCCGAAGTGGTTGGAGAGCCTCTGCACGCAGCCTGCTCTCCCCAAACCCTGCGCGCCCTTGCCAGGGAGCCCCTGCCCGCCGGCTGCGCGCCCCTGACTGTTGCTGCTCCTCGGCGCTCCGGGGCTTGGAGGAGCGAGTTGGCGCCCGCAGCTCCGCCCACCTTCCTTTCGCTTTGGGCGACCGCTAGTGATTGGCCACGAGTCCTGGTCCCGCCCCCCGGGCCGCCCCGCCTCCCCGCTCCCCCCCGCGGAGATCCTGGGGGATTGAGGGGGGGCAGGGGGGGGGCGTAGACCCAGCTCTGGGCTCTGGGCTCTGAGCTCTGGGCCGCGAGAAACGCCCTAAAGAGGAGGGGAGAGCGCGCGCGAGAGGGAGGGCAGGCAAGCGGCTCAGGGGAGCGGGGACGAGCGGAGGCAGCGGGCAGCCGAGCAGAGGGAGCGGGCGCGGGCGAGGTGGGAGCGGCGCGGCGCAGGCGAGCCTGGGACCCGGAGCGCGCGCACTTTCCCGCAAAGTGCCAACTTGCCCGGAGAGTGCCAGGCGCACCTTCTGGGCGCAGGGGAAAGTCAGCGGGAATTTGAGATTTTAGGGAAGAAAGTCGGATTGCCCCCCCGTCCCCTTTCCCCCTGTTACGAATTCCCATTAAAAAGAAAAACAAGAATAACAGCAAACTTACTATCATCCTATCCGTCCACCACTGCTGGCACCATGAAGGCGGCCGTCGATCTCAAACCGACTCTCACCATTATCAAGACGGAAAAAGTCGACCTGGAGCTTTTCCCCTCCCCGGGTGAGTGGTGACTGCAGAGGCGCCCACCCCAGCTCTCTGCTGGGGTCTCCTCCGCTTCTCTTCCCCCCACCCCCCACGATTTCCTTCCAGGCAGTGCCTGATGGGGCAGTGCTGGTGGCCGCTGGAGAGAGGCAGAGAAGAGGAGGACTGTTGGTGGCCTGAGACCCTTGTTTGGGGGGTGGTATTTATTTTCACAGCTGTGTTCTTGTGAGGAGTGGGAAAAAAGCTTATAGAATGTCCGGCACCCCCATTCCTGCTTCTTTATTTTACCAAATGAGCAAGAACCCTCTGGCCTCATTCCTTAATGTTGGGGGGATGGACACTGCCACCGAAGACATCATTCCCCTGACCCTGCATCCCCCAGAACTGGAGCTGGATGGAGGGCCTTGGGCAGTAAGAGCCAAAACGGTGGCTAAGTGGCACGTCTTCAAGCACATTTTCAAATGTCTTGCCTTCCTGAGCTCCCCTGTCACATGTCCCCTTGCTTTCTAGCTCCTCTTTTCTGGGTTGAGGACAAGGAGATGGGAGGGCAACTAAGATGATCATCTTAACTTCAGGGAATATCCTGATTCTGTCCACGCAGATCATTCAGTTTATCCATCTTTCTAATCTGCCATGAATTTGTCCTCTGGTACCAAAGATGTGTTAGAAGAGGGAAAACATCCCAACACTAAATGTGACTTTGGGTCTTTGGTTGGTGGTGTTATCCAGCTCTTCGATTTGAAGGATTTGAAGAAGAAAGGGATAGGAAAGAAATTTCATTTTGTCTTAGGCACAGCTTTTGGTGCTAAGCAGTTTAATGGAGTCTGGTCCTTCGGAATCCTTGGAATCAATGCAGTTTAAGAAGAAAATATGCTTTCTTTTAGGATAGGGAACTGCCAGCTATCCTTAGAGAGTAGTGATTTTGGAGGTCAAGGTATATAGAAAGATACAGAGAAAAGGTGATGCTTTCTGGAAAATAATGAATTGCCTTAATGTGCTGCTGTGTTGTATGTGATTATCAATAAGTTTAGCTGCTGCTCCCCATGGCAAACACTTCTTTGCCTCTGCCAGAAATAGTTGCTTATTTTTAAGTCTTTGTGAATCTGCTTAAACTTTCAACAGAAGCCAAGCCGATGTTTTGTCATTTGGAGGTCTTGCAGAAATGTTACTAAAGACATGGCCATGTCCTCCCCTCTTAGACCCCCTAACATTCAACCTCAGTATTGACAACTGGGAACTGTACAAAGAAGGCTAAGTTGTTTGTTGTCACAAGGGTGACGATGGATGGTGAGAGCAATACTGAGATCATCTAGAACCATAGAGACGTTTCAGGCACTTAGACCTACAATTCAGAAATGATGTCGCTATGATGGTTGCATTTGGGGGTTCAAGAAAGCCAGAATAAATTCTGTTACTCACAACTGATTCAAACCATATATATAAGAAATGAAAGGATAGTTCCAAGCTGAGATATAAACTCAACTAATAGGTCTTTCCCTTCAGAATGGCTTGTTTATATGTGTGTTTATGGAGAAGAGACAGATTGGGTCATCTGGGAAATATCGTGTGGATATGTCAGTCCACACACCTACGTGGATTTTGTGTGCTGGGAATGAGGAAGAGTCCCTGGCAGCACAGGTTTTTGATTACAGTAAACAGCTGAAACAATTTTTTTTGGGGGTGGTGGTGCGGGGGGAGGGTGATTTAATATCAAATATTAGAGATTTTCAGTATATTGAGCTGTTTTTTTGAGTATTGATAAAAATGAACCCTGGCCATGTAACTTCCCTTAGTTCTTCCATCTGTAAAATGGGTAGAGTAAGGTCTAATGCTCCAGTCACATCCATTATAATAAGTGCCTTTATATGCCTCTCTTTTTCAAAAAAGGTCTACAAGCCATTGATCATATTTTGTCAGCAGCCTTCAGTACAGATTTCAACTGGTCAGAGGAATTGGGCAGTCTTCTGTCATTCATTGTAATGAGATGTGATTTCTGGCACTATCTTGGGGAAAATAAAAGGAGAAACTTGAAAATATAGAGAGACTATAATAACTAAGTGTTAGTTAATTTTTTTCTGGGTGTTTAGTAGCATATATGTGAATATTATATTCATACCTCAGACAGGTAAGAGGGAAATAGTAGCACGGAGAAGGTAAGTCACTTACCCAAGAATATCTAAAGAATATCTAGTGAGCCAGTGGCTGAAGTAAAATGAACCCCTGTTTCTAATTTCTCAGTGTATGTTGCCTTGAGTAATATGCAAGTTACCTTTGCAAAGCTCAGCAAAGAAACTTCAGTTGCAACTTAAACTTGCAGGTGCAAGAATGGAAAAAACATTGGCCAGGCTGGCTGCTTTTGTTGTAGGGAGAAGACTCTGGGTAAATGGGGATTTGCTTTGCCCATCAGACCATACAGGACATGTGTTTAAAGTTTAACTTCTTGCAGCGTGGCTTTGTGTCCACAGCTGTAACTTAAATATTTGTCAGAATGATTCTCTGGGTTGTTTAGTTTCTTATGTGTGGAGACAGCTAGTTTGGGATCTTATCTGGTTTAAATAATTAAACCAGACCCCCCCTCTCCTTTTCCCTTTCCATTATGTGAGACTGGGGGGGGGAGAGAGAGA